TAGTATAAGATGGTTAGCAGATGAAACGATTAAAGACACCCCTCGGGCACAAAAATAGGGAATTGTGCAGCTCAAATACCAATGACAAGCACAGTGATTCAGTAATGAAGAAAAACCCGCCGTAAATTTCCTATATGGCACCCCACGCCAAACCGCGCCTGCATGTGAACGAGACGAAGAGCGGGCGTGGTCGGACGAGTTCTCACTTGTTCCGCGCTAGCTCTTCTTTCCTATCACCTCATCTCATCATTGGAAGTTGAGAGAATTAGTAGTGGGTCAGCCACCACGACAAAAACTTTGGAACTGAATCCTAGGGTCGCTGCAGTCAGTGAGCGGGGTTCCTTCGCGAGTGGGCGAAGCTTTCCTCACGCAGTTTTGGGCCGCGAACTTAGTACATCCGTTATACTTGCAGGAATGGCTACTATGTCCAAAGAAGGCGCCTGAACATCAAATGAATGCGGGACGACTCTTTGAAGAAATCGTTGGAAATTTCACCCTGGGTTTTTTCCAGAACATCAAAACCACAAACACAAAACGACTTAAGAAGTGTCTTGAACAAACCTTATTCGACTGAGAATACTTCAAAAAACGGAACTCGTGAGTATGATTGTTCATCATCCTGAAGTGTTCCGCAGCCTAAAGAGGGAACTGTTATAGAGAACTGTTACTGTTGTTACTGATACTGATCAGTTGATGATTCCCGGAGAAGAAAATCTAAAGACTACAGTGGTAAACTTGTCTGTTTAATAAGTTTCGGTTTAAACCAAGGTAATACTAGCGCCCCATACCACTACCTGACATCCTACGTGACCAATATTGTGCCGCGCAACTAAGCGTCACCAACTTCAGGGGTTTCAAAGATCGCGAGTTACCCGTTATCCAGCCCTCTTTCTGAGGGCGGAGGGACTCGAAATCTGTATGTTTTACTGTCGCGAGCCAAGCAGATATGCTCAAGACAGGTCTGAGGAAAACTTCTACAAAACACGGGCGGCCCCTCACCCCTCAAAATACTTCCTTCCAATACGACCAGGGCACATCAACAGTTGGGGATTTCGGTCGAGTTCATTCGAACCCCCAATAGATGGCTTGATACGAACCCCCCGTTCCCCTCTGATACGACACAACTGTCGAGCGGAGGGGGATGTAGCTTATGTGAATGGGAGAGACCGCAAGGGAAGCAACTCCTCCCATTCCCCTCCTACCTACCACTTTATTAGATTTTCCCAACTTCTTAGCAGTCTTTCCGGAATTTCCCGAAGATTTTCCTACTTTCCCTTAATTTCACTGTCGAGTGGAGAGGGGGGGGCAGGGTGTGTATGGCACATGTGAAAAAGAAAAAACGCGAAAAGTCAACATTCGGATCGGAATTTTCCCGATGTCGTTGATTTAAGGCAAACACGACCCCTTCTCCCAAAACGATCAAATACGACCCCCTCCCTCCCCCCAGCAACCGAATACCACCCCCACCCTGCTGGGGAATCCTCAACGATGGTGTGAACTGTTCTCTTTCCCATCCCCCATGCTACCATATAGAATAGGAAAACAGGAAAAATCGAGAAAAGTCAGCAACCTAACAACCGAAAACATGCTTCTCAGAGGCAAATACGGATTCGTCGTTGTGAGTCTTCAACTTACGGCGTGGACAGTTATGCCTCCGGGAAGGATACATCCCTAAGTAAGTCGTTCAAAATCCCTTCAAGACTAATTGTCTTGAAGGGTCTTGATTGTCTGACAAAAAAACGTGCGATGAGCCCATGGACCTGCTTTGCTTGTAGACCACTGAACATTTGTCCGCTTTTTTCCCTTTAGTACAACCATTTTGTTCGTTAATTATCTAGCCTACAAACCACTTTGTTCGTTAATTAGCTCTCAATTATTACAGCACCTGGGCTTTAGCAGGCTCTCCCAGTGCGCTGACTCAAATGTAAGATCGATATCGAAATCAAAAAAGAGCAAACATTAAATGAAATGCTCCTTTGCTCCTATCTGCAAACAACGCACCTGTAACATAACCGTTATTGGATTCCTGCCGCAAATCGTATTTTGAGTTCGCTTCAAGTAGTCGTTGAATATTTGTGGATTCAACGTTTCTATGGCATCCATGCCCTAAAACGTTTCAGAAAAAATGATTCTGTATAATAAAACAATACCTATAATACCAAACAATACCAGGTATATGAACTTACATCTCTATCAAGTTGAGTAATCTGTTCATATATGGCAAGTCCACTGTTCGGATTATGAGGTGCAAAATGAAAACGATTTCCTTTGAAAACATTTCGTATACGCCAATTCCATGAGGAAGTAATGTTTCTCAAAAACCAACCCCAATGACAGAAGTCGGATGATATCACAAAAAGGTTACGTGGATTCTCCAAATAGTTGGCAAATATCTTTCCATACGCCTGCTGTTTGGGCGGCGTTAACGAGCCAACTAGAACCGGTATCACGGTCACATTAGGGTTTCTGAAACAAATGTTTCTGGGATATTGTTATTCAAAATTGCCTACATGCAAATCAGACGATTCACAAATACATCCCACTCCTCTGTTATTTGTGTAACCATCAATGGGTATCAATGGGTTACTTGAAGATGTGACAAGACAATCGCAATAAGCCACGCTTGTGGGCGTGGCGAGCGACGTCGCGCCCGACAGAAGAAATGTTCTAAATGACCGTTTCAATTTATGTGCTGAAGGGACGGGAAAATTCAATACCGCCCCTCATGAAAGCTTGTCTCCGCTTGAATATGTTAGTTTTGGAACTAAAATCGAACAAAGCGATGCACAGCGAAAATCCGCCGCACGACACGTTGCGCGCGACTACACGAATAATTAAGATTGTCATGTTAGGTATTAATACGTCAAATGGAATTGTTAATTGCTTCAGAAGATCAAATAAGCTTTGAGAGAATTTTAGCTAGCTCGGGATTAGAAGCCAAACATTGCACTGTGCGTTCGTGAGTGCAGCGCCCAGCTCTTCGATCTTTTCGGCGTACCGCTGACAGATCGAGAAAGATCGGGAGGGGTGGGGAGGAGGGTGAGAGGGTAGGTAGGTAGCAGGAATGTAAAACTGGAAAGCTCTTATCGAAAGAAAAATCAAAAACTGAACGTGACAACAACGTGGGGATGCCTGTAGGTCTGTAGTGTCAGCCGCGAGTCTTACAATTGCGCCGCACTGGCGCTGATAGTCACCGAGACAACCGTAACATGAAACCACTACATTGCCCGCAAAATTTTACTAGTCGTAACAAGCATGCGAGGTTCAGGCAACGCTTTTGGTTTCCACATTTGTAACCGTTTCTCCTTGCTCTGTGGTCTCTGTTCGAAATTCCAAAGGAAGTTCAAGGCGTTCGCTTGTATTGAACGCGTAAGTGCGAAATAGCTTGAAAACGAAAGCCCCATGAAACATGGTAACATACGGACACTACAGCCCTCTTTGATATAATAACATATCACTCGCTATAGCGATCGTTGATGCAACAGCCAATAGAGCTGAGTAAAGTAGATGTTGATGCGCTACGTTATGTGTGAGAACGAACCACCAACCCTGGAATCTTCTCGGTGAGTCTGACTCACTACCGCGATTGTGAGAAAGGGGCAAATCGTTGTTTTGTAGAACAGAACGGGTCCATTGTTTTAGACCTAGTAAGGCAGGGTGTATCAGTTGTAGTTAGCTAGGGGTGGCCCGCTGGGCGTGTCCGTGCGCGCTGCCGTCTGGCGCGGTGGCCAACTCGTTCTAACACCAGATTGTTTGGAAGGGCGGGCAGTTGACAAATTACTGTATCATATCCTTGTAGCTAGTCCTTCTACACTTCTTGTCGCCAGACAGCTCTTCACAAGAAGGCAGAGAATGGCTTTTATAGCGGTGACATACTTTATACTGGCTTACACGCATCCCGTCCGCAGGAGAAGTATATGGGTGGTTGGCTTAGAATTTTCCCGATTATAATAGTTTTCGTTCCTCGTGTACTATTCACTCTTCGCTTTTTGGCGAGAAGGAGAAACTACTAATCATTGATCGAAATGTCTCCCTCCCATGCTCGAGGACAAAATTCTGGGAAAATTGGTAAAATGGTAGGGAGATACAAAAGCGGATCAGGATCGTCAAAGGAAGGAAGTTAAGAGGGAGGGGTGTTTTTGCAAATATTATGCCCACACTGCCGATGATGAGCCGCCGTCCTCACAAGTACTCAGGTCATGCCGTCGGAAACACTGGAGAGAAGGGAAGACGCAAGCACCTGCTACTAACAATCATGAAACCATTCTCGCTTTCCCGAGACGAAATCCGAAAAAGCCGACACACCTCATATTTTCTGAACGTAAAAGGCAAACCCGTTGCATAATTGCTCATTTTCAATTAGAGTGCCGCGGATCCTCCTTCTTCCCCTCACTTTGTTTCTGCGGGTTTTGTTTGTTATTATTTATGTAGATGATCCATATACAGTAAGAAAGTTGAAAAATCAAATGAGAGTTTTAAAAAATGCCGCAGAAACATCACAGCTGCATGCTGTTGTCTAAGGCACTTTTCGCGAGCGTTCGATTGCGGCGCTTGGCGCATCTTGTGCGGGGTCCAGACAATAGGTAGATACTGAGCAGCAAACTGTTTTTATATAAAACGTTATATAAGGGGGGGCACGTCTGATTAGACTAGTGTAATCCTCCTTATATGGTGCCGGAAGATATAAAAAATACGGTAATAGGTTGAATACTGCAGCATACTTTCGAAGTCGTCGCGGGAAAATTCGTAGACTTGAAATTACCGAAAAGGATAAGCTTGCAATTTTTCGACTTCACCCCCGAAACTAAAAAGACAGAGATAAGTGTAGGGGAAAGCAAAGAACAAAAAATGTTGTGAGCGCTCCCCTATTAGCTGATTTTGCGTCAGTTGAGGCAGAAAGGCAAATACATCTTGAAATAGAAAAAAACAAATTCTGAATGAAATATGAGAAATTGTAAACGATACATTCTGGAAAAGAGCACTAAGTGAACAGAACCCAGAAAAAAGTTTTTGGCTACTTTGAGCAAGTATTTTACTAACTTACCCTTCCATAACCTTTGCAATGAACGGCATTTGCATTTCAATACTATGTTCTTCCGGCCTCTTCATCGCTTCTAAATTCACATAATCGAATTGACGTGTCGCTTCGAAGCTTCGTCATTTATACTAAAAAATCACAAGCATTTACAAAGTACACAATTATGCCAGTATTGTAAAAGAAATATTGATTCGTACAAGATATCTATGTCCATCACCATTCAAGACGTGCCGCTTGTTTTTTTTTAATCAAAACAAAGTGGGAGAATAAATATAGAAAAGTGATATTTTAGCTTTAGGATGAGTAAATCCCTCCTTCACCAATGACCCGCTCCCAGTGCCCCGAGGGCCTTTGGACCTCTGGTACCTTCGATTTTTCAATAAGTGTGGGTAAATTGCTGTTGTTGCCAATTTCGGCAAATGACAAAACATTGTAGCGTCTGCCGTTGGAGAGTACTCTCAACTGAATAGAACAGTTGTAATCGCATGGCTTTATGACGGGGCGAATGGTGGTGAATTGAAACCCAGGTCTAGCAGTTTGTGTCCCCAGCACTGATCTACAATACAGTTACTCGGGGTCTGTACTATGACGAGCAACGGTGGCCTTCTTGTAGTTGTGTGGTAGCATCCATTTGTCGATCTGAATGCCGAGGAACAGGCAATATGCACCGACAGTGACGGATTTGTTCTCTGTATAGAGCCGCTTGAAAGCCACAGTGTGGGAATCCTTTGCTATGATGATCATCCACTTGCGCCCACGTAACTGTAACAATCTTCATGTGTAATCCGAGAGCACCCTTACACACAACTAAGGTCCGCGCGGCCAAGGTCAATTTGAGGGCGGCGCACTTTCCGCTCTTATGGACTGTCTGATTGAAAAAGCGGACTTTCAATCACTCCGGGCTTCTTTTCAAGTTCTCGAGAACTTCCTCCTGGGGCTATTCGCACATATTCACTAGGATAAACACTCCCGTACACTAGCTTCCAAATGGCTATAGTACTCGCTGGTTATCCTTCGTTTTCTGCCATTTCTCTATATGTAGCGCAGCGTTTGAATGGGACGACCTAATTAGACTTAATTATGTTTTTGAAGATCTATGTGTGTTATTCATCCGCAGCGCTACATTTTGTTTTATTACACAATCACGTATATAGACTGGTTCGCTGACGGCGAAGGGGCGTGTCAGGCAGGGTGAGTACAGCGCGGTGCCAGATCCGTTCTTCAGCAATTCTTGAAACGAGCAAGTGACTAGACTGTATCATATCGTTTGTACCACTCATTTTCTACCGAATCTTGTCGCATACTCACTTCACCGGCAGAGAGTGAGTTTGGCGGCGTGGCAACTCATACTACCTGACAGCCTTCCCATCTGCAGCGAACCAGAGTTTATCTTTCCATTAAGCGCCGGGTGGCATTTTCTTGAGTGTTAACAATTTGTTTCCAAGAATCCCAGATGCACAAAAATGCGGGGATTGGAAGAATAAGTGCAAAGAAAAGTATACGAAGCGATCTAAAAATGTGCGATTCGGGACAGCGCAAAAATAGAGAGAATTAGATGTGAGCTAAATGACTACACCCAGTGGTGACTCGCGAATCATTGCCATTATTCACAGTATACGCACCTTGGCGAAATCAGCGCATCCGCGACAATGTTTTAATACGTGTTTCTAGGAGCCGGCAAGCCGAGCTTACTAGTCTGGCGGCACCGCGAAAAGGATCAGATAGCTATAGATTCTGCTAACGCCCAAATTGAGTATAGGAGAGCAGATAAAGCGCCAGCTTTGACTGCTCGCTCCGCCCTTTCTCAAAACCAGTATCTGACCCTTTCGGCGAAGACGCCAGGTCTGACCACTTGGTCCGCCGATTTTCCACATCGATAGAAAGCAAACTCGTGAACGCACTCCTATCGAAGACTGCAGATTCTTCGAAATTGCATATTCTTCATATTTGTGACATATGAACGCTGCCTTATGAAAACTAGTGCCTTCCTTCAGTTGCTGACAAAAGTACATTTTCTACTAGAAGTTGAAGAGAGAAGAGGACAGAGGAAATGATAGAAAGAATGGATACAATGATGGATTGGTAAAGTTACTGGCAAAGAATGTTAAGAATGCGTTCATACTTAGCGCCTGTGTTTTGAGGGCACACGAGCGATGCCAGCGCGGGCTCAATACGCTAAATTGGCATCTCTATACTTTCCTAGGCACTGAGAGCGCTAGCGTACACTCCAAACGCTCAAAAGCTTGGGCTCGGAATGCTGATGCAAAATATGATCGCACACTAAGGATGACTCCTATGAATGGTGGTGAGGAAATGGTAATGAAGAACAACATCGTCGTTACAATCCATATCTAGAGGATGAAGAGGGCGTGGCTGACACTTTCTCTGAACATGGTTCAGAAGGCGCATTTCATGCAATATTTCCGTTTGAGACAACTGTCATCCTGCCCCATGTTGAACGAAGACTTTCTTACAAATGTCCCAAAACAGCAGTATGGTGCTGCCACGTTCTAATGAATTACGCAGCAACGCCCTCCCCATTTCTGGGATATGACGTATTGAAGCAGCAATAAAATGAGTTAA